GAAGTTTGCCCACATTGCACCATTTTCTTCTTTTCATGAAATTCAAAGGGATTAAGTTGTTCTGTAGAGAGTAGTTGGCATTTCCATGTTTTTGGGTGGCCTCAGAAAAATGTGGTAAGGTAGGTGGAGCAAAGGAGGCCAGTGTACAAGTCGGAAACTGAGACTCAGGAATTGTAGATGGAGTGGTGGTAGAGGGCATGGTAGAATGGCAGTGCTGGTACTCACATTCAAGGCTTCCTGCTCCTCATCAACAACTCCTTTTACCAATTACAGTGGATAAAGAAGAGTTAGCGTAATTGTTGGGAAGTGCTGTCAGAATAGGATTGCTGGTTTCCCTGTCACATAACAGACCTGGGCAAAAGCGATGAAAAGCTCTTTACCTACCATGCCATCAATCCAAGTGATTGAGCCCTCCCTTGCTCAGCAGTCTTCCTTCCTAGCATAGGGTATTACCAAGAGCATTTTGTTTAGTGCTGTGTAATAGGTTGATATCCTTGGGTCTGTAGTCTTTCTTTTTTTATATTTTAATGTTTCTTTTTTTCATGAGAGAGAGAAATATAGAGAGAAAGAGAAAGACAAGCCCCTCTCAACTGGGTCTCATGCTATGACCATCCCTCCAGTTTTCCTAGCCAGTCAGGATCATGGCTGTGCCTACACCCAGCATGTAAGAGTCAACACAGACACTGAACTCCAGTCTCTGTATAACTCCAGGATCATGGCATGGCATGCATGCTACCACTGTGCTACCACAGCTGGATTTAGGTCTGTTTTCTTAAAAGTGAGTCCTGCTATTTTTAAATAAATCCTTTATGTGTCAAAATACTTTTTTTTTTTACTGTTCATATAATGTTTTTTAATTTCTCAAAGGGAGAACATAATTGGAATGTTATGGCTAGTTAGAAGCTGAGTGGCTAAGGAAGCCTGAATTTGAATTCCATGTTTTATAATTCACCTTTGATATCTCACCTTCTTATCTTAACTTTCATAAGAATGCTAGAGGTTTTAACTTTTTATGTTACTGTTCAACACTGTCTGATTTTAACACGGATCCTATTCCCTCTTTCTTGAATCTCAAATACTTAATGTATAAGTGAGTGAAATGGTAAGTGATTTTTGCACTAAGAATTGTGACTTTCTACCAAGAGTCATGCTAGAGAGAACTCTGTTGACAATTTTCCTAAGTAGTGTACACATGAAAATAAACTTAAATGAAGATCATCTAAATGTTCAGTTCATTTATGAAAACAACCATCTATAATTTATAAGGTAAATACTACTATTAATAGGGAGGCTGACATCATAAAATGATGTTCAGCATGTTACCTGTCTGAAGTCCAAAAGGTATATTAAAATTTCTGAAGAAATTGAGGTATGTTTTCATACCTCAATTTACATCATAAACTAATGACTTTATTTATTTTATACAGCTCTGTTTTGCATTCTGTTAGGTAGCAATATAATCTCCCTGGGTTCATATTATTTAAAAATGAACAATATAGTTGAATGTAGTTTACCATGATTATTTTGTAGAGATAATCCACTCCTGTCCCCTCCCCCAAAATGAGTTGTTTTGCCCAATGGGATTACTAACTTTTGCTCTTTACTTCTCAAATGATCTTAATTTCAAACGAATTTGTTTCGAACTTTTGGCAGTATTGTGGACCATGAGTACACTGT